TTATAAAGAATATCTCTTTGGGTTTGAGACTTTAGTCTTTGCAACTTTAGGGATCTTATCTATTTACGAACAGCTTGTAACACTCCAAAAAGAAAGGAAAACTTGAAATCGCATTTAATATAGGTGCATCCACTGAGGAGATCGTCAAGTCATCACTGCAGCCAAAAATACAGCAAACACTGGTTTATCAACGAATTATTAAAATGTTAAGGCAGTCTCCTTGCTTTTTTTCCTGATGCATTCATAATCATTACTTCTGCCGGTGCGCTGTGTGCCAAACCTTATTCGTGCGCTACATAGGCAATTAAACGCTCATTACTATGATTTATGGTTTATTAATATAAACGTGCGATTAGTCGACTAACCGCTTAACATGAACGACTACTGGTCGACCAGAAAAATCTTTAGTCAAGAGCAGCCCTACTACTTTTCAAAAGTTTGGGGTCAGTAATATCACAGGGGTTAAAATGTAATCAAAATTCATCAAAATGGATCGTAAAGACCTTTACATTGTTACAATGTAAAGTATGAGTTTTCAATTTATCAAAGAATCCTGAAAAAATGTGTCCCACCTCCCACAAAAATATTAAGCAGCACAACTGTTTTCAACATTGGTAATTATAAGAAATGTTTATTGAGCACCAAAGCAGCATATTAGAATGATTTCTGAATGATCATGTGACACTGGAGTAATTGCTGCTAAAAATACCGCATTGCTAAATTACATTTATATATTAAAATATATATAAATAGAAAACAGTTATTTTAAACTTAAAAAATATTTCACAATATTACTGTTTTTACTGTATTTCTGATAAAAAAATGCAGCCTTGGTGAGCAAAAGAGACCTCTTTCAAGAACATTTAAAAAAATGTACTGACCCAAATTTGTTGAAAGGTAATGTCAATAAAATATAATGATCACAAACAATCACAGGATGCCAAATTATTACCTATTGATAAAATGTATTCAGAGCCTGTAAGATGCTTTTATCCATGGCACACAGGCATCATCTTTTTTATTATGAAAATTATATTTTCCATTTAGCTTTTATTAAAGAAAGTTGGCCATAGGTATGTTTAATTTCTTTATCAATTCTACATTTCTGAAATGGTTGTTGAATAGCAAAGTTGTAGAAAGATGTAAGAATCTAAGAAAGTTTCTGCAGCTGTACCTACAGTTGTGTAGATTCATGTTTAATTGGCCAATAGATCAGTTATTGGATTCTAGATATATACAATATATATTATGCCCAGAGGCGCACATAAGTGGTGCGCATGTGCGACAAAAATAAAAAATGCACTGTTTAAATATGTTCAGACCGATCATTTGCATACCGACATGGTTGATACACAATCACAGTTTTAGATCGACTAATTGTAATACTGTATCAGATTTCCATTTGAACTGAAAGCATAAATCTAAGGTTATGTGCTGCCGTTTCAGAGCAAAACGCAAAGCTGTGACATTTCATTCATTGACACGCTTCACTCTGCAGCGCTAAAACCAGCAGCACAACCGCCAGGGGCGTCGCTAGGCCCTTTTTTAGGGGGGCTTCAGTTCTGATTAGCGCTACACAAATTAGTGATCGCATTATTCCCCTTTAAAGCTTTTAAAATTGATGCAAGTTTGGGCTCCTCTCCGTCTTTTAGTCTGTGTTATTTAGCGCGAGCGCAATTCGGCGGAGCGTTTAGCCGCCAGCCTCAGAAGACAAGGTGTGCGCGTTTATTGATAGATAAATAATGTAATGATATCTGCATCTGTTCAGTTCTTTGTCATAAATGCAGTTTAATGTGATGCGGGAATAATACAAGACAGTTTCCCATCCACTCATTCAAACATCTTATCAGAGTAAATGACAGAGACAGAGAAACATCGTTATTTCGTTCAAATAAATATTTACATTTACATTTAGTCATTTAGCAGACACTTTTATCCAAAGCCACTTACAAATGAGGACAATAAAAGCAGTCAAAACTAACAAAAGAGCAACAATATATAAGTGCAATTGACAAGTCTCGGTTAGCCTAACGCAGTACACGTAGCAAGGTGTATATATATATATATATATTATACACAAACATAT